GTTGATGATGTCAGCGACGCGGCTTAGTCGAGCGCGGTTTTGACGGGACACGGTATTAATAAAGTAGTTTGTAGAGTAAATGTCAAAAATTATTTAAGACAGTCGTAACGTTTTTTTTTTTTTTTTTTTAGAATTTGTGTTCTTTTCAAATGGCAAGCTGTCCTGTATCACAATTCACTTCAAAAATCAGTCACGCAAACGCCCTCTGGTTGCAGATTCTGCTAATTAAGATAAAAACAAGAGAATTTAACGTTGCTGCAAGGGGGAAATCAGACGTGAAAGGTGTATGGGAAATAGCGGTTTAGGAAAATGTCTTCCTTGCTCTGAAAATGGTTTTTGGAGGCCTATTTTAGCGCACCGGCAGCAATCGATGAAAATGTTTTGAGTATTTAGTCTTCCCCATTTTGATAATCTTTGCGGTTTTTTTTCTTTTCCTTTTACACATCCTTCTCAGAATGCTGAATTAAAATTCAACTTTGGTGAGGAGGACTTTAAGTTTCCACCCAAAGATGGCTTCACTGCTATCGATAAAGCCCCCGAGGGTAACGTCGTGAAGTCCCAGCACGCAGGTATGTTAGGGGCCTCATCAAATTTAAGAATTTGCCATTTCTGTAAGCCACCTGGAATTACTGTGAGTAAGTTGGACAGCCATATAAATGTTCTTAATAAATAAATAAATAAATCAGTGCAAAAAGCATTTTATACAACAGAGTTAAGTATGTGAAAGGTTCTTAGATACCATAAGTGATAGTTATAATAGACTTATTGAAATCAAATGAACCGAGATGAATAATTGAAGTCCTATTTATTTCTATGAATCTGTTTTTTTTTCCATGCTGCCTTATGTGAATCCAGAGTGCTGTCTTTTAGACCTTCCGAAGTTTACAACTAAATATATTCTAAATTATTTTTGCCTGTCCTCTCAAAAACCAACATTTCTGTCCTGTCCCATTTCAGGAAGTGCACAAGTAGCGCAGTCCAAGAATTTGCCAAACGCTCCCAAAGCTTTGATCGTGGAGCCATCCAGGGAGTTAGCAGAGCAAACTCTGAACAATGTGAAACAATTCAAAAAATACGTTGAAAATCCTAAATTGAGGTAAGGTCAAATGAGTGAATTGGGAGGTGAGAATGAATGGAGCGTTGCATTTCCCCCTATAAATTCATTACGTTTTTCTTTTGTTCTGGAGAGAATGACCGAATAGCACAATATATAATCTGCTGCTCTACTTCTCCTAGGGAACTTCTGATTATTGGTGGTGTTGCTGCAAGAGAACAACTCTCTGTATTGGAGCAAGGGGTAAGTGAGACTTTGTTCATCTTGTGTAATTTTCTTTTTAAGTATACAGATTTCTTTTGTTGTTCAAGTCAGATGAAAAGCTTTTTTTTTTCTTTTAAATTATAAAGATGACTGTAACCCCCAAAAAAGCCCTGCATGGTATTGGATCTGGGTACTTGAGAGACCACCTACTGCCAATTCCCCCCACTAGGCCAAAACGATCC